CACACACACACACACATCTTCACTAGCACTAAACACATAAAGTGAGAATAGAAATATGCATGCTCACCTGAAGCTTTCTTCTGTTTGTAACAGTAACTCACAAGTCCAGGGATATCAGAAATATACCTGTAGGCAAGCAGAAAACATATTCAACTTAAAAGCACATAATTGTAGCCTTACCTCTGTAAAGTGGTATGTTTTCATTCTTGAAAATTCTACATCCAGTAGTAATGTTCCTTTATGATTCTAAATGCATATGGTATGGTTAAATAGTCAGTTAGCAGACGCTTGTATTTAAACTGATTAAAAGTACACTCAATAAAGGGACAGTTTTTCTAGACTACGGGCCTTTTGAAAAGCCAGTGAAAGCTCTTGGCTCATGGATTCAATTTAGACCAATTTACCTTCTTATGTAACTGACTTAAAATTGTGACCAGTCTTGCAGAAAAAAAAAAATGGATGACTAACTTGTAAGGCTAGTTTAAGCAGTTTATGCACCCGGTCTTTCTTGAATACATGCCTGATGAAGGTGTTTTTGTGATTTTACTGACCTCTCCTTCTCTGCAGCAATAGCAGAGCTTGTTTGAGAGTGGTGACTCCAGGGTAGTGAGCCTGTCATCCAATACAGCATACAGTACCCCAGAGACTGCAGGTCACTACGACAAGAGGGACCTGCAAAACACCAATGGGCATGCAAATTAGACTTGCTTTCTTATATGGATAATGTAAATAATGCAATAAATAACTGATGCTCACCAGCCCCCTTGTGAGAATCCATGCTGATGAAGTTGATGTTACCCTGGTGTGCAGTGCGGCTACCCTGTCTGTACTCCACATGCTTTCCACCAGGGCAAAACCTAAATGCATGACCAAACCCTGACAAGAAAACCTACAAAACACAAACAAACGCTTTAATACTTGAGTATTATATAGAGCATTTGTGTTCAGTTCATAAGGGACATGCTTACTGACCTCTGGGTGACTGTTAGTGTTGATGTAAATATTTCCTGCATGGATGTCTGCATGAGCATATTCCTTCTCGTGAATGAATTCAAGTGCATCCAACTACAAAACACATACAAGCACACATACTATATACACAACCTTTTCACTGAGAATGGCATGACTATGGAAATAGCATCAAATCTGGGAGTGAAGTCGTTTAATAGCACACTCACTAGTCGTAGTGCAAGCTGGAGAACAGCTTTCTCAGACAGAGTACAGTTCCCTTCATCCGTGACTGTCTGTAGAGTTTGGCCCATGCTAGGAAAAACTAAAAACCTGCAGGGAGGTGAATATGGTTATGATTAGATTCCACAATGAGGTCATATTCATTGAACCTTTTTTATCTTTACACACAATCATAAAATGTGGCACTCAGTCGGGACACAAGACTATGAAAATCAGTGAAATACAAATCAATGAACAAAGACGCCAGTCTACAAAGACTAACAATAATACAGATGGGGTGTGGAAAAATTTATGTAAATACATTCCATAATTTTTAATCAGATAAACTGACAACTTGCAAAATGAATTGCTGTTGGCTGTAATTCAATGATATGTATACAGTTTGTTCAATGATAAGGAAATAATATACTGGCTTCAAAAACCATTTTTGTAATGTCAATTTAATTACTTTTCTAACACAATGTAATGTCTTGAATTATCTTCATTTGGAGGCTTTCCTCACTATGTATTGGCATCTATTATATATGCACTTCCATTCAAAACTTTGAGGTCACTAAAATTTTTTAAATGTTTTTGAAATAAGTCTCTTGTTCTCACCAAGCCTGCATTTATTTTATCAAAAAATACAGTAAAACAGTAATATTGTGAAATCTTATTAGAATTTAAAATTGTTCTCTAGTTTAATATACTTTAAAAAATTATTCATGTGATGGCACGGTTGAATTTTCAGCAGCCATTACTCCACAATCCTTCAGAAAACACTCTAATATACTGATTTAGTGTCCATATTATCAATGTTGAAAACAGCAGTGCTGCTTAATATTTTGGAGGAAACCATACATATTTTCAGGATTCTTTGATGAATAGAAAGGTCAAAAAAACAACATTTAAATTAAATAAATTACTATAAATGTCTTCGTGACATTTATATTCAGCATCCTTGCTTCTTTAAAAATTATATTTTTTGAGCCCAGACATTTGTTGTAGTAGTGTAGTGTAATATTCTATAAAAGTTTCTGAACAAAAGGATACAAACCCACATACCTATATGCTTCATGAAGACCAAACCCTACACAGGAGGGAATCCCAAGGAAGTCCAGTTTGTGCAATTTCAACCATTTCTCCACTATTGACAAAGAAAAAGAAAGGTGTGGTTATAAGCCTGTAGCTGCACTAAACTGGGTCTTTATGTATCCATTACAAGTGCTAAAATGACTGACCTGCATCAGGTTTGGCTGCTCTCAGATGGAAGTTCTGTTCATTAAACAGCTGTCCCTCTTTAGCACCCTGAGGAAGAGAACACAAAGTCATCAGGACCTTCCTCACAAACACATGCACACAGACAGGCTACATTGTGTGAACACAGCACTCACCAGTCGCAACATGTACTTGCATTCATTTGAGTCTGCGTGCTGATTTGCCTGGCACACTTGATTAGAATAGACAGACAGACAATATTTAGATTCATAAGCCACATTTAATGCATTGCTGTTATCTTTATCTTAATCATCTGACTTTATCATCTAAATCATCTGAATGATAAAAGGATTTAAGATGCATAGATGGATGCATTCACCCACATCTCATTAATCAAGACCGCAAGGTTTGATTGACAAACGCCTTACCTGCATATGTAAGATCTAATTCTGTATGCCACAGAAGTTCAACCAGCTTCCATTTTTTGCTGGACTGGTCACAAACCACTGTACCCTCCGGGACAGGCTCAACAGTGCACACACGCTTCCTGGCTTTGCATTTGGCTAAAACCCCACAAAATAACAACATTTTGCCATTTAGTATGAAACAAACTAAAGAAATGTGAAGTAATCACTTTTAGATCATGAAACATTTTTTTTATTATACATTGAGCAGCCTGTCCTCTATACAGCGCATCTTACATGGGCTTTGAATAACTGAAGATGTTTGCTTCGCCTCCTTGTCTTTAACCTGGGGGGAAGCCTTGCATTTTCGAGGTGACATCGAAGACGTCTTATCTGAAATAATGCAGCACACCAAAAACTTCAGGCCAAACCTAATTAGTAATTTACCTAAGTAATTAGTAATACCATGTAAAAATGATTACATTGGTAATAATTTGGTCATATTTGCAATTTACTACATGACTGAGCAAGAAAATCTGCTAAAAGAAAGCTACCAAATCTAAAGTTTAAGATAATATCCAGAGTTTCCCAGTACACAACATCTTACCTGGAGTTTGAAGTGTGACTGAAAAAGTTTGTTTCACGTCCTCTTGTTCTTTAACCTGGGGGGATGTCTTTCTTCTTCGTGGAGATGTCAATGACTTCTTAACTGAAACAAAGCAGAAGTTTTTCACACAAAATCCTCCAGCATTCAAAGTAATAATGTGAGTTTAGTGTGTCTACCCGGGGTTTGAGTTATTATGGCCGATGTTGTCTGTGACACTTCTTCCTCCTCTTTAACCAGAGGGGATGCATTTCGTTTTCGAGAAGTTGGCAAAGACGTCTGATCTGAAATAAAGCAGTCATCTTTCACACAAATTCTAGCATGACTACAAAGCCTTTGTTTCTACAATAGAAACACACAACACCCTTAGACTCACCTAAAGATTCTGTGGCTGTGCCACTCAAGGTCTTCCGCCGTGTTGAACGCAAAGGTGGGCGATTCAGTGTAGATTGTGAGGAGTCTCCAGCAGAAGTGACTACAAAAATAATGTAGATTACTGTGTTGCCATGACTCATTTTAAAAGAAGCAACTGAGGCCAGAAGGAAAGCTCAGTCAGATGGCATATACATAGATTTACAAGTATTATGCATATACTACCATTTAATGTTGTTGAAAGAAATCTCTTACGCTCACCAAGGCTGTATTTAATTGATGAACTACAACTAGTAGTGGGGGGGGAGATCTCTCAAGTTATTTTAAACAAATATGATTGGTTTATGTCTGATTAACAAATATCATAACGATGCACTGCATATATATAACATTTTCAATCTTTCAGTTAAATGCTGATATTACATTAAGCCCACTTTGAAACCTGCTACAACTAGACAACTATGGGGAGTTGGGAGATTAACTAAATGACAAATGAATCATGAAAACTGGACCAAGTTATCGCCTGAATTTACGTATGTATCAATAAAGAGTTATATTATCATTGTAAATATGAAGCAAGCAAACATTTGGTCCACTGAACAGTTGTAATGTACTCAAGTATTTAAGTTGCGATGAAGACATGAATCAAAGCATTACTGTATGTCATCATGACCATTCGGCTGTCTTTGGTTGCTTTACTATATTACTAAATTATATTTACTATATTTACTTATATTGATAAGGACTCTCAAGCAAAACGAACTGTAGTCCTTGATGATGACACTTTTCGGATAAATGTAATTAAAATAAGGATGAACTAAAACCTGTATTTACCTTCAATGGCGCGCACAGATGAAAGCACAGAGCTTGGATGTGGTTCGGATGGCTGTGAAGCTACAGCTTCTGTTAGCTCTTCTGGCAGTTTCCCACCACATGACGGACAAAATCTGAAACCAGACTGTAACTTCGAGCCACACTGAGGACAGAAATTCAGCATTATGATGGCGAATTAGACGGGCTGGGTGGAAATGTCCAAATGGTCTGACAGTCAGGACCAGAAGAAAAACTCTTCCAACGATATTTCCAAATGTTGTGACTCGGAATCAGCCTTTTGCTGCTGCGACCGAAGCGTCGTAACTGACACAAATCACGTGATCATTTGCAGCAGCCGTATTACGGCAGGTGGTTGCCGTTTTTTACAGGATATGTGAGACGAGCAGTGTATAAAAATTGGCACAGACTAAATACTGGGTGTTTCAGGTCTGACGACATGAAGCGGGCGTGGTTTGAGCGCAAGGTCAAGGAGCATGCTGTGTGTATATATATATATATATATGTATATATGTGTGTGTATATGTATATGTACAGGGTATGCTGTGACATCTTTTTCACATTGTTGAGTTATTAATATGAAAATTATTCTTTCCCAATTATCAATGTGCCACATGAGTTTTTTTTTTCTTTCCCCACTGTTTAATGTTAGACGTGATAATCATTCTTGTTTGAAATGCGCGAAAATTAAACAAAGTCAAGATCTCCGCAGGTCGTGCCGCTGTCACACGTTCGCGTGCTTCACACGGAGCGTGTAAACTGCGCATGCTCCTTGACCTTACGATTAAACCACGCCCGCGTGATGTCGTCAGACCTGAAACACCCAGTATTTAGTCTGTGCCATAAAAATTGCCTTCTTATTTTTCCTCACACGTTTTGGCTTCTGATTAAATTACAGAAAAGTCATAATTTCCTAATTCCTATAATAATGTTTGACTACATGACTTTATTTTGCTGAACAATTAACTTTCATAAAAAGTTGTATGTTCCACAGAAGAAAGGTCATACCGATTTGAAATGACAGAATTTTTTATTTGTGGGTGAATTATCTCTTTAAATCCTACAGATTTCCCCGCTCTCTCTACCTACCTTGATCATTCTGTTTTTTTAACATTTCTATCATCTCACCTAAAACTTGAACACTAATCTTTTGCTGGCATGCAAGCACTAGTATATCCTCTGAGATGCTAAAATCGTTTTTTTTAAACACCATCTTATGTGGCTAGAAAATTTTGGTAAAACTATATCAGGTTTTTACAATAAATAAAAAAAAACGTTACTGATTGATTACTGAGTTACTAACCCTCTCTCACAGGGTTAAAACCAGTACGATCTCATAAAACATGCTTTCTGTTTTGACAGAAAGGACATATTGGTGGATCTTCTCCTTAAATTAAAAACTTGTGTGTGATCCTGTAATGGCCTATTCGGCAACGGGTAGACAATCTGGTCTCATTGGTTTAAAAAAATGTTAGAAACTTCTTGATGCTAAACTATTAGTTTTTGAAAGCTTTGAATAGATGCGTGTAAAAACATGTTAGTTCATTTAAATTTCTCTTCACAATAAATATTAACACTGTATCCATCTTACCAGCCTTCATGTTAACCAATACTGTCAACTCAAAAAATAAAAATAAAAGTGACAATGTGATAGGTTATCAACTCTTGTGCAGGAATAACAAAAATGGCACAAATGACTGTGAAAGGACATTTGCTGTAAGTTTTATTTTTATTCCCAGTGCAGAAATGTACAAAAACACTTGGAATACATTCACACACTGGTCAATTTTGGAACGAACATTAACTTTTTGTGTTAACACTATATATATATATATATATATATATATACAGCATGAGTAGATTTAATGAAACTGATTTTCTAGATATCCGACATGAAAGGCCTTATTATGAATCTCTATTTTAACGGCAGGTAATCTATAATTCGCATGCATGTACGTGTTTGAAATCCTGGTAGGTCAAGGTAAATTTTAATTTAGCTAAACAAAATACAACATCCCTGGCATTTCCCCCACTCCCACAATCCAAATCAATCTTGTAAAAATAAAAAGGATAAAGAAATAACTATCTCCCATAAAAAGGAAAGCCTTGTTTCCTTGTGAAAAGGACATACTGAAGTATATCAGCAATTGTAAAATCCAGAGGTCTGTCCCTGCGCATGAGAATTTTTCCAAGAGTCCAGTTCTTGTTTCTGCTTCTCCAGCTCCTCTTTCTCTTTCTGAATCTCCTCTCTCTCCTTCTGCAGCTCCTCTTTTTCCCTCTGGAGTTCATTCTTCTCCTTCTGGAGGCCTTCTTTTTCCTTCCGCAATCTTGCGTGCTCCTGCTCTTGTTCACATTTCTGGTTCTGAAGCACTCTGCGTTCAGCATCCATTTCACGGAACTGCTGCAGTAACTCCTTCTGCAGCTGTATGCTCCGCCCCTCTTCCTGCTGGACACGCCTCAACGCCTCTGTCAGCTCCCGCTCTCTTTCCAATATACGCACACCCTCAGACCACTTAGCACCTAAGGGACCAACAAATTGTGAAATTAAAGCTCTTAATATAGGCACAGAAGCATAATCAAAGAACAACTGCAAGGAGCTTTGTGCTTTATTACTTCTGATAAGAAACAGTCTCAGTTCTCAAATTCGGTCCAATTTATCAGAAAATTCAAACAATAAATGCCATTTTGATGCTCTTAAATGTGCCATGACAAATCAATTCCACAGCGGTGTGAGTCATCAATTCCACTTTAATAGTTTATTCATTAATTTAATAGTAGCATGGAATAAACATAATTGAAAATCAGAAGGTATGTGGAAAGACAGTACAACTTACCAAATGTATCATGTGTCATGTAATTACTCAATTAGCGCTTTAACCGTGGAAACACATTAATAAAACAGCGCGTGACTGATCAACGTCACTTAATGTTGCATCAGGAGTTATCTAGTGTTCCCAGTTCGTTATTTAGCTACAAAAATGGGGAGCTTAGTTACTGTTATTTATATATGCATGTTTGAATAAACTTACTTGAGTTGTAAACAAACATTTCAGTTTCATTTCAGTCGAGTGTGATTATTATATTTAAAAAAAAAAAATAGAAGTTGAATATAATGGGTTCTGTTGTCAATTTTAACCTCCAATACTGTGATAATGTACCAAATTATAGGGTTCCCTGTACAGTTTACAGCATTAGTTTGGAGAGATTTTTTTTCCCTTAAGAAAACCAAACTACTGGTAGATAATATCATTTTGAATAATCAGCTATCAGTATTGGCAGAGAAATTTAGTACCAGTGCATCAATAGTTATTAGTATCATTGTGTTGTTATTAATATTTTGATATAATAAGAAAATTATAAAGTTTTAGTATTTTTGTGCATATATATATAT